GGCCAGGACACAGTCTGTATACTTTTGATAGAAACACAGAAACAGAGTAATATTCTTCTACCATTAGAAAAACTATAGCACATACATGACAGTAAACACTCTGCTTTATAGTGAGGGAAACAACAGAGAGTGATGGGAAGAAGTAAGCAGTCCCCTCTATCTAAAGGGGCTTTCGGACCCTAGCCAGTTTGGCTCAGTGGATAGAGTGTTGGCCTGCAGACTGAAGGGTCCTGGGTTTGATTCTGATCAAGGGCACACCCCCGAGTTGTTGGCTCAATCCTCAGTGTGGGGTGTGCAGGAGGCAGCCGATCAATGATTCTCTCTCATCATTGATGTTTCTATCTCTCCCTTCCTCTCTGAAAGAAAAAAAATATATATTAAAAAAAATAAATAAAAAATAAAGGGGCTGTCAGAACTCTGCTCTCACCAATTGTTGGTATGCAGGAAAGTGGGCCAGAGTTAAAGGCTGATCTGATTTTTCAAGACAAGCTGGGTATCTAGATTTTTTTAAAAACTTCATGATTTAAAAAAATGTTGGCTCTGACTTTTCAAAGACACTCTGGTTAAACACACACACATACACACACACACACACACACACACACACACACACTAAATAATGCTTGCCCCTGGGCAGGGAAACAGTAGCTGGAGAAGACATTCTATACTAAATATCCTTTTGGACTTTGTACCCTGTTCAAGTGTACTTTTTAAAAATTAATTAACTCCCTAAACACTGCAGGAGCCAACTATTCAGTCTGCACACAATTGGTTTGTGACCCTGATCTACAAAGTTCCGACTCTTCTTCCACCCAGTATGCAAAGCCCCTTGGCTAGCTGACTTTGGCCTGCCTTCTTTTTCCTGCATTGGGGCTTCTGCTATGCTATTCCATTCCCACATTTGTCTTTTAACAAACTATAGAAATGATCCCTGAAAGTGTAATCTTCCATTTGTTTTTTAAGATCTAGTTCAAATGCCACTAACGAATTGCTCCTTCCTCCAGGTGGCCTCTACAGTATCCTGGGAGAGGCAGTAAAGCATGGAAGCTCAGAGCATAGATTCAGGAGGCAAACGCCTTGGGTTTGAATTCTGGCCCTGTCAATTACACCACTTAATGACGTGGAGCGAGTTACTTAGCCTCTCTGGGCCTTGGTTTCCTCATCTCAGTTGTGGTGAGGATTAAATGAATCAATGATTCCAAAGTGAAAAGGATACTTCCTGTCTTTTTCTCTGGATTGGGAAATTGAGGACTGTGCCTTTTCTAGGTTCCATTAACTTCCAGAAAGACCTAGTCTTGGACTTTCACACAATACCTGTTGATTAACAGAAGAAATAAAATCTTGGAAGAGAAGTGCTACATCCTGTTTCAGACAAATAGTTCACAAAATCTCAGATTCACAAACCAAGCAATGATATTCCTAAAGCCAGAGGCACACCTTCCACAGTATCAGCCTACCTTTAGTGACAGCCATTCTAACTCGCTTGGGTCTTTTATATATCGACCATAGAGAAGCACTCATATAGGTGCCCAAACAGCAAACACTTACTGAGTTTGAACTGCCCACCAGCCCTCTAACTAGGTTCTGGACACAGAGAGACAAAAGAGTGTCTTGGTAAAAATGATGATGCCAGCTCTTTAGTTACCAATCTGGATAGTCATAAGTATAATGTTAAGTAAAAAAGTAAAGTACAGAAGAGCTTGTCTAGTTTGCTTCTTTGTATAAAAAGTGGGGAAAAGGAATATATACATTTTTCTCTTTATGAATAAGCTATCTGAAAAAAATAAACAAGAATAAATGTTTTGTTTATAAAACATAGGTTACCATCAGGGCAGGAGAACTGGGCAGCTAGGGAATATGGAAGGAAGAGTTAAACTGTAAACTCTTATAGTCTTAAAAGTTTTTTTATTTTTTTAAAAAAATATGTTTTTTATTGATTTTAGAGAGAGAGGAAAGAAGAGGGAGAGAGAGAAATACTGATGAGGGAGAACCATCGATTAGCTACCTCCTTGCACACCCCCCACTGGGGATTGAGCCCAAAACCTGGGCATGTGCCCTGACCAGGAATTGAACCAGCAACTCCCAACCAACTGAGCCATACCAGCCAGGGCTCCTTTAAATTCTGAAGCATGAAAATGTCTTACCTAGTCACAAAATGAAAAGGTTTTTTATTTTTTAAGGATGAGATTTTTTTAAAAGATGTGGTTTGGACTTAGCAATTCCACTTTTATATATTAATCAGAGAGACACTCATATAGGTGTCCAAACAGGCATATACAGGGATGGTCCCAGTAGTGCTATGTGTAGTCATAAAACATTGGAAATCACCTAAATAGTTACCAGTAGAAAAAAGTGTGATTCATCCACACCTAATACTATACATTAGAATGAAGCTGATCCTAATGGAGGAAGTTGAATTCTAAAACAGATTGCTAAATGAAAAACAAACAAAATCGTGCCACAGAGTAATATGTATGATCCATCTTATTTGTAAAAAAAAAACAAACCCAACACTATACAGCCTTGGCCCGTGTGGCTCATGCACTGAAAGGGTGACAGTTTGATTCCTGGTCAGGGCTCGATCCCAGGTAGAGGGCATGTAAAAGGCAGCTGACTGATGTTTCCCTCTCACATAGATGTTTCTCTCTCTTTCCCTTCCTTTCCCTCTAAAGACCAATAAAAAATCTTAAAAAAACAAACCAACTATACGGGGGCTGGGTGGAGGTGGGCAAAGGAGGCAGGGGTGGGAAATGGAGGACATCTGCCAACAGCATCAACAATAAAAAAAACTGTCTTAAAAATAACCCTATATATTTCTTTATAAACATATACATGTGTATAAATCCACAGAGAAAGACCTGGAAGGATGTACTACTAACCAACTACAGAGAAGGAAGTAGGATTAGGGGTCCTAAAAAATAATAGCTAACTGGGCAAAGTGCTTCACATGAATTGTCTTCTAATTCTCTTATCAATTTGATGAGGTAGGTCCCATTATTATCCCTTTTTAATATTTGAAGAAACTGCAGCTGAAAGAGCTAAGTAACTTGCCTAAGTCACACTTCAAATCCCAGACTTAAATTTGATTCCTCTAGCATGGTGCTTTATACTTCTAAAGGTCAAGGTTAGTTATTAAAAAAAAAAAAAAAAAAAGCAAAAATGTGATCTCTGACCCAAAGGAGTTGCCTCGGGCCTGACAGGGGCCAGATAATGGGCAGAAGGACCCAGGGCAGTGTAATCAGTGCTGTGTGGAGGAGCCAGGACTTACATTTGAGGAGCTGGGCTCCTGTGTGGTCCTCAGCAACACACCCTCAGCCAAGGCCCGGTCCACCGCCTGCCGTGCCAGCTCCTCCAGCTGCTGCTCATCCTGCAAGAAACTTCCCCAGCTACTGGCCATTCCAACCTGCAACAGAAGGAGAGGGCAGGGCTTGGTGACAGATAGCCAGGGGCCAGCAACCCCTGAAACTGGTGGTATGGTACAGGGGAGCTTCATGAGCACAAAACAGAAAGCTTGGCAAGCAATTCCACTGCCACGCTCTCTTTTGATTCCTAGAGTGATGGTATTATTCTCAAAGTAAGGAAGCAGAGGTTCCGAGAGGTGAAATTACTTGCCCCAGGTAATGACTGGTAAAACCTGGATTGAACCCATGTCTCTGGACTCTCAGCTCAATGCTTTTCATTGTAGAAAGAGGCACTAATGTCATATGCTATTGGGGCAAGTTCCTTCCAATCCCAAGCTGCAGACTCTCTACCTGTGAAACAGAGGATGGGGTAGACCAGTGGTTTCTAAAACTGGCTGAATATTCTGGGAGTGGGGGTGGGGCTTGAAAGGTAATACAGATTCCTAAACCCCATTCAGAATTTCTGATTCAAGAAGTTTGAGGGGAGGGAGGGACTGAAACTGTATTTTTAACAAGTTTTCCTGGGATGGGAACCCCTGTAAAAGATTATAATTTTCCTTCTAGCCCCTAAAACCCAGATCTCAAATAAATTACATGGGAGTGCGTTGCTGACCTTCAAACTGGAATATCCAACTGCTTACTTGGAGTAGAATTTGTTGTCCTCCCACAAATCTTCTCCTCTGATTAGCCCACCAAGGGTTATATCACCTTGTATATACTCCTGGTATGCCCCATCCCCCCAAATCCTGTGGAGCCTATCTAAAGATACAGTCCTCGGACTTCCTGATTTCGCTCCATCTCCACTGTCAGGAGCCTAGCACTGAACCCAACACCCAGGGTTCAGAGTGAGAGACCTTCAGTGACCAGAATACATCAGCTTCTCTCCTTCCAGGTCTGGGCACGTGCGGGAGTTTGGAACACTTCCCAGCACGTCCAACCAGGTCATGACTTCGTTTTAGAAGCCATCCCTGTTCCCCACCCAGGGCTTCTACAGCCCATTACACCTCCCTGCACCGTGTCCGTGATCACTTCTCCACCGCCAGCACCTACCATGTAGTCAATGGATGTAAAATGAATGAGTGATTAATGAATGACAGACTGGGGCCAGATCACCCAGAGCCTTAACACGCCCACACGGACACCCGGTTGGACTTCATCCCGAGGGCGGGGCCCGTGCCTGTGCGGGGCCCCGGGCAACAACGCGGTCTCCTGCCCAGGCCTGCCTCACTTTACGGGCTTGATCGCTCTCACTCTGGACAAAGCTGGGTCCTAATCGCTCCCACTTTAAAACACCACGACTCAGGCTCTCGTCTCACCCGCACCATGTTCCCGACAGCGACCGCATCTGAAGTCAGGAGACCTGGGAAATCTGAGCCCAACCCCCTCACTGGACACGTTTCCTGGTTCCTGTCAATGACTTTGATCGGCGAGATCACTGGCCTCCAGGGTTCCAAACGCCGGCCAGTGCCCTCCCTCGCGGCATTCCTCCGGAGGAAACGTGACCCCTGCCGGCCGCCGTCGCCTCGCCCCCAACCTACTTGTTCGCGATCCCGCCGCGCGCCGTACTCGGGT